CAGTTTCGACCTCGCATCGGTCTTACCAACACCTTCATCGGGAGTCGAACTGCGACAGTGCAGGATGGGAGCTTGACACGCTCGTGGCAGTGTAGCCGAGTGGTTAGTTTGTCAAGCTCCCATCCTGCACTGTCGCGGTTCGACTCCTGCTGAGGTTGTTGATAAGACCGATGCGAGGTCGAAACTGCAGTTCACTTCTGTCTGGATGAGAACAACTTTTGGGAAACGTCAGCTCAATTTATATCATTATGGGAAAATACTTCTTGTACCAGTCCTTCATCACCTTAAACAAAATTAGGTGAATGCATCTCATATTACTGTTTTTTAATCAATTTCGTGTATCTACTCCCTGTCCTAGCGCCAAGCGATCAATCCTACTTCCCCGACGTTAGTTCATATGGCAAACGTTCCTATCTACACATTCTTCCCCTTTTCGAATGACTGCAAGGATTGTGCTAATTCAACTTGATTAAATGAAAAAATAAAATAAACTCAATAAAAGATAGAAATAAGTTAGTGACTTTACCTTCTTCTTCGACTCCGAAACTACATTGATCTTTAGGATATACTTCAATTTGGCACTTTAGAATAAGAGAAAGTTAATGAATGACACTTTGGTGGAGGTCATAAATACCGCTGAGGGATAACCAAAATAATCAATTTTTCGCATTTAAGTATTGTTTCAAGACTACCAGTAAATCACTAATATGAGATGTAGTCACCCAATTTCGTTTACGGGAATGAAGGACTGATAGAAGAATTTTCCCACAATGATATGAGTAGAGCTTGTTGTGGGAAAATTCTTCTATCAGTCCTTCATCGCCTTAAACGAAATTTGGTAAATGCATCTCAAAATAATCAAGCATAGGGGCTAAAATGGAAATTATCCAGAAAATCTTTGTGCAACATATGAATAGGAGTTGTATAATGAGAATATATAGGGCACTTAAAGGAAGTGATCAAATTATCTGCAAGCAGACAAGGGAGATGTTACGGTAGTGGCAGACAGATGCCAACATACATAAATAATAAAAAATATTTCTGATGGCAGAGCAACTTTTCGGCAACTAAAAAAAGACCTAACGGCCAAGCTCAAGAGGGATCTCCAAGAAATGCTGAAGGAAACAAATACGAACGGGGAAATTAACAAATGGATAATGAATCCGCTAGCACCAAAGGATGCAAGACCACCAACAGTATAAGGTTCGCCGAAAATATGCTATGAAGGCGAGCCAAAGAGACTGACATTTGAAAGTAAGCACAGATGAACAAATAAGCCAGCACATTTATTTGCCTCACATTAAAGAGGCTGACTGATAGAGCCTTGAATACAGTGAAAAATTCATATGAATTATCCTAAAAAATCAATGTCATCAGATATGTGTAGACCGAAATATCGGTGAGCTTCGGCGTAGAGTACATGTATGAAAACATCTCAGGAGAGAAAGTGCTTATAACGCTACTGGAGATCCTGGAAAGAGAAGACGATATCCTGGAAGCGAGTTGAATCTGGAAGGATTAGTTGCCTCAAGTGATCACTCTTATTTTTAAGCTGCCTCGTCTATGAACGGATATTTGATCTGCCCATGAGTTCACCACTTTCCTCTTTGTTGGCTAGAATCCAAATGCATAAATTGGAGGAGGAGTTAAAAGTCACTTCAGCAGCCAACCTTATTCATGCGATACCTGGATGATTATTATTCATTCTGGTCATGTGGAAATATAAAGGGGTAGAATAACAGACTTTTACAATTCCAAGAGACTGTTGAGATAATGTTTTTCCATTAGAAAGCCCATTTGGAAATAATAATAAATCTCTAGTCCTATTATTATGGAAAGTGCTGATATTAAGGCTTAGAGTAATATATTTCTGGGAAGATTTCGTTGACAAACTAGCAAGAAATTTTCTTGTTATCTGATATTCAACGTAACTAATACGAGTAAGAATATGGTCTTGATGAGCAGGTGGCATGACAGAGAGTATCCAAAAACCAAGGGCGACGACGAAAACGAGTGATATGTCCACTCTCCCATGAACTGATCCGAAAGCTGCGTCAGCGGATGATTAAGTGGATCATCCATGCGGTCCTGAATGAAACAACCACACTCTTCGTAAGCTTAACTAATTGGCATGAATAAGTAAGCAATAGGGAGCGTTCTCGAGTTTAGTAAATCGGCTGCAAGTACTGTGAGCAAAAGTACATAGACGGGAAGGAAAATCGCCACA